TCAAATACGCTTGTCATTATGTCACACAAGAGCCTCATCAAACATCAGCCGCAGCGAACCAGCTTTCTGTTGCACTGTATTATTAAAAAAAAATCAAGGAATGCCAAAATCCAACAATTCCATGAACTGCTTTATTTCTGAAAATATAAAAATTTTATTGGCCCATTTATTGTTCAAGGCCAATAAGTTGATCTCTTGTCAATGCTACATAAACACTCTTCTCATAGAGTTGAGTATGTGATGTAATGAATCTCCTCCATTAAGGAAACAAGTTCTGTGGGGCGTGCATCATGTTTGGATGAAAAACCATCGAATAAGGGCGTCCATTGAATGATGAAAAAGGCGATGAACTCCTTCTCGAGGGATTGGTGTTCAAGGAAGAAGGATAGTTGCTCATCATCATGGTCATGTTGGAGGTATAATGAGAGTGAGATGGTGACACCAAAATGACTTAACATTTCGATATAACTAATAAGGAGGACCATGGATTTTCTGACGCTGCTGCCGTTGTTGTTGGGTGTGACAAGTGAAGAAGGCAAGAAGAGGGTGGCGGACATGATTTGTTATTAAACAATTCCACTGGAAGAATGGAAAAAGTCCTAATAATGTTTTTCAATTCGACAATTTGCAACTAGCAGTCCGACGACGCTCTTCTTCCCGCGCATTGTCAATCAAACAACAAGAAAAAGATTCCAAAATAATGACCCCTCCAAATATTGTGGTTTGCCATCAGAAAACCATTTTTTCTACGTCCCAGCCTGCTAATTTGTAGTGATTAACATCTCTCTCATGAAAACCTTTGCACATTTATGGGAATGATGAAAATGCTGGCTAGGACCATTCCACTTCATTCTTTCCAAAGATTATACTCCGTTTGAAAAGGAGAATTCAAAATGACAACCAAATCTTGTTGCACCAACACGACGACGCTTTCACTTTGAAACGTTTCATTATTGTGTCTTGGAAGCTCGGTTCAGTCCCATTAGTCATTTCAAATTCCAAAGCATGTTCCTTGTTTCATTAGTGGTTCCAAAATTCATAAAAATTAAAACATTCCTTTAAGCTTGGGATGTTTCAAAGGTATTGGGTGGTTTCAAAGATTCAGGGGCGTTTCAAAGATTTTGGAGCTTTTCAAAGAATCCGAAACATTCCAAATTAGCTTCTTTTCAACTTAGCTTGGGAGTTTCAAATAAAATTTTGAATTGAAAAAAATGTCTCTCGATATCAGCAAAGAAGACGCTGTGAGATTGAGGGAAATCGAGGTCAAAAAATTGGTGGCCAATGAATGGAAGGTATTGCATGAAGAGCTGCCAATTATTCAGAAATCAAAAGGTAGAAAGGATATCAAGGATATTCCTACAATGAATAGAATTAAAGAAATAGTCTGCCAAAGAATTGGATATGTTGCTACATTCATCTTCTTACATACTGTTGGTACTATCTGTGGATGGTTAGAAGGTCCTTATCGTAATGTGGACAAAATCTTATTAATTCTTTACATGTTACTTGAAAATGAAACATTCGGATCCTTAAATGAGAGGAGAATTATCGCAAGGTCTACAATATGGAGAATTCATCACACAATTTTCGTTGAATTTCATGACCAACTTAATGAATGGGCTGACACTTGTTTGCAAAGAATGTTTTCAAATCCTATTATTCGATGTCTTACTGGTATAATTGAAAACGAAAAAGGCTTCAAGGATGGAACCACTTTTTTAGATGGTCATGATACACGTATTGAATATAGTAATTTAGCCAAATATCCTAAAAGGGAGTATTGGAGTTACAAATATAAAGATTCTGGATTAAGAACTCAAGTATTGATGGATAATCAAGAATTAGCAATTGCTATTTCGAAATCCCTACCATGTGCTCCTAATACAGACATTGGTATGTTCAAGCAAATGGAGAGAATTCCAAAACTATTAGATCCTAGTGTGGATGTATTGTATTTTGATGGTGGTTATTTCTTGGGAATTCCTGATTATATTGAAAAATTGCAAGAAAAAGGATATGATCTTGATGAGTCAAATTTCAGAACTCCAATTAGAAAACCAAGAAATCAAGATCTAACATACAGTGAAGCACAATATAATGAAGAATACCTTCCATTCATTGGCCACCAATTTTTTGACCTCGATTTCCCTCAATCTCACAGCGTCTTCTTTGCTGATATCGAGAGACATTTTTTTCAATTCAAAATTTTATTTGAAACTCCCAAGCTAAGTTGAAAAGAAGCTGATTTGGAATGTTTCGGATTCTTTGAAAAGCTCCAAAATCTTTGAAACGCCCCTGAATCTTTGAAACCACCCAATACCTTTGAAACATCCCAAGCTTAAAGGAATGTTTTAATTTTTATGAAAGCCTATTCAATTTAAATAACACGTTTCAAATGCATTCAAAGGTCTAGAATTAAATGGTCCTGGAACGAGCTTCTTGTATCTCTTGCTCTACCTTGAAAAACAAAACAACGAAAAAGCATATGCAGTTTCTCTTCTAAGTTTATTCATTTCTCATCTTTGAATACTTCCTTGTCCGTTATGAGTTTATTCGTCCCCATTCCTTCTTCGATTGTAAACAATTAAAGAGTTTGGTTGAGCTTTAAAAATTTTTTTCCATGCTCAAAAAATTTTCTGCAAATTAAGATTAGTCTCTCTTTGCGTTTCTTAGTGACTTCCCATTCGCACTCCCACCCACTTGCTTTCTTAAGCTTATTTAAGTACCTTTTTCTCTGATCGGAATGTTCTTGTGGTAAGGAAGAACATTGTGACAATGCAGGTCTACCTTGATTCGAATCTTTTCGGATTTTATTGAGCTAACTATATATTTTTGTTATTTAATTTTCATTTATTTAATTCATCATGTTATCATGATTTTCATGGATTTATCAAATTATTATTTTCATGGATTTATCAAGCAATTGCTTAAATGTGACCTCACATCATGGAGTCTTCGTCTCTGCCGCCTAATTGTGACTTCTTGCACTTCACATCATGTAGTCGTTACTTCTGCCTTCATCCTTCCTGCTTCCTTGCGTTTCTTTGGTTTTCTCTTTTTTTTCCCCTGAGCGGTTTTTGGAGTTTTTTACCTTCTCAAATCTTAATTAATACTCGGGACTCTACTGAATAAAGTTAATTGACAAATATGCAGAAAATCCCACAAACCCATTAGTCCTTCCTTTAATTAACAAACGAATTTTATTGTTTACTCTTTCGAAACACTGGCAGAGTTGGCTGTTTATGCTCAACAATGGTTTAGTGCTCGGAATTTTGCTGTTGTGGAATATTCGAAGGATGTTACGAGGAGTTAAAGGTTTCGCAAATTCAAATCTTTCCGTCAAGACCAACAACACAAAGAAGACGAATCTCGGTGCTCCTCGTCCTTCTTTATCTGAAAAGCAGTGTACATCATCCTTCGCTACTGCCACACTCAAAACGCCAGCATTTGAAAATAGATCCAAAAGCTTCTCAGGAAATGTCACTTCCTGCGAAGAGGAGCCTGACTTGGTGTTCAAAGATTCCTTCCAACATTCTTCATTTCAGTAAGTCTTTTGTTTTTTATATAATTCAACAATGAATTCATTGGACAATAACGCTGTCGTAATTAGTTCATTGGAGAAGGAGCCTTCTCACTTTCTGTTTAATTCTCATATTCTTTCACAAGTGATTGGCAAAGATTCCTCTCGAAAAGCTTTATACCTATTCAGAGTATGCGCATGTGTGTGGTCTCTGGTGACTATTTTACTTTACCAACTTGTTTTCATTCAACAACCACATTTAGAATTTCTCACAAATGTTACCTTTGTGTTATTTTGTGCGTATTTCACTTTTCAGACTTAACCTTTTCAAAACCCGTTCTTTAGAGAAAAGTAACGATTCACAAGATGTGAAATCTCCTCTCATGTCCTCCAATCATTGGATGGATGTCATTTGGGTGATGGGAGAGCTCGCAATGACTTCGTGTTTGATTGTTTGTGTTGGTTTTTGGGCTTTTTCATCGTTTGAACCATATAAACCTCTTGGACAACAACGTTACTTGTAAGTACTCATATCTATTACGTTTAGATCGATCACATTTTTTCTCATAAAATTTCAATAATTATGCTGTTCATGGAATTGTTGGAATTTTTGCATTGCTCGAGGTTTTGTTGTCCAATTTGCAATTTAGATTTTCCCATGTGCATATGATTACCATTTTCCCAACATGTTTCTTTTTATGGTTGCAAGTACTAGCTGAGAATCGTCTCATCTCCTCATTTCCCTACAACTTGTCCAATTATTTCAAATTTCCCTTCATGGCGTCAGTCGTTTACACTGTTGGAATGCCTTTCGTGTTTGCTGGTACATTTTACATGGTATGTCAATTAAACAAGGCGAAAATGAGATTGTTCTGGAAACAACTAGATCTTTGAGAGAACCAATACACTAAATAATTCAAAATAAAACTACGAGATGGACAAGTATCAATAGAGACTTGTAAATGCATCACGTCAGTGCTCAAACAACAGCTCCAGTCCAATCTCTTGTCAGAGCAAGCTAGCTGGTTGGCCTTCAACAGCACATGAATTTATTTCTCCTTTTGAGCTAATTCCTTAATTTCATGCTCAACTTGTTTCAATGCAAGCTTGGCACGACTATGCAACACTTCTTCAAATGGATATCCGCTCAATTTGTTGCATTTTTCTAAACTCTTCTTTACCTCATGCAAAAGTTGGAGCTTCTTCTTTTCATCAGTTTCAGTCTTGACATCACCCAGATAACAGGACTCTGCAATTTCATAGTGAGAGAAGGCAATCCATTGCTTTTCGAGTTTGATCTTGTTTTCAAAAGTGAGGGCTTTCTGGAATTCGGCAGAAGACTCTTCCTTCTTTCCTAATTGTCTCAAGAATTGTCCTTTAACCACACACATACCAGATTCAATATCACCATGTACCTTGCTCTTGTCATCAATTTTCACATCCTTTGCAACACTAAGGAAAAATTGATAAAGTGGATCTGCAATGTCAGCAGATAAATTCGCTAAATCTCTTCTCAAGTAAAGAATTTGGAAAATAGATACAAGCATCATCAAATGCTTTTCCTCTTCAGTGTTGATGTGCTTAATCAAGTCAACCTTTTCGAGAGCAAACTTATCAATTCGAGAATTCTTAGACACATATTTGTCCAAGTCTTTGATAAGAATATTGGCTCTTTCTTTGTCACCAAGCTTCAATTTACAAACTGAAAGAAGCATGCAAGAAATACCCTTAGTATCAAATTCTTTTTCTGACTTGACCAAATCTTCCATAATGGCAGCTGCTTCAGTAAAATTCATGATCAACATGTAACAAACACCGAGTTCAAATAAAAAGTTATTGGGTTTTGTGCCCATGCTCTTTGCCGTGATTTGAATGGCATCCTTAAGATTTGAAATCGCAGAATTAATGTCTCCTGCCTTTCTATCGTAGTGAGAGTGAATAAACTTAAAGAAACCACTCTTAGGGAAGCGAGAACCAATTCTCTCCAAAATTGGAGACACTTCTTGGAGGTTCTTCTCTCTGTCTTGTAATGCTCGAGGAATGAAGAGGTAATTCAAGCACAACATGAATCCACCATTGCCCAAATGTCTACCACCGTAATCGTGCACTTGTTTCAACAAATGCAAGCCTTGATCTCTGTCAGCATCGAAACCTAAAACGCTCAAAATTTTTGCTAATGTTGGAGGTAAAATGGAAAGCATGAAATTGAATATACTACGAAATTGAAAACAATCATGATCATAAGGATGAATCACATGTTAAACAAACACATGTTGAAATGGTGATTGTAAGGAAATGTCAAGAAATGTGTGAATAGGTCATTGTGTAAACAAAAGAGTTAAATTAAACAAACACCAACATACCCCAATCCAAAATAAGCTCCATGCAATAAGTCACTGTGTACAAATTTAGGAGAAGTCTTTGGCTCATCTTTCAAGCTCTCAACAGTTGTGTAGACTTCTTTAAATTTCAAATAGGCCTTTCTCAAATTGTAAAATCCCTTCAAATAAGAGGATGCATGAAATTGAAGAATGCCTCTCAACAAGTGAGTCTCTCCATTCAACAGTGTCAAATCGAGCTCAAAATTGTGAAGAATTTGTTCTTCATTCATTTCTTCTAATTCTACAAAGTTTTTGTGTGATCTTTCAGTGTGAGTGTAATAGTCTTCCGATGCTTCTTTTAACTTCTTGTTCAATGCCTTATATTCTTCGACGAGTTTCAGAATGTCATCTTTTTTGCTGATCTTTTTCAAGGCATGTTCGGCATTCTCAAGATCACTCATGCCTTGTTCTCTCATGGCTGTTTCACCTGAAATGTTCGATGAGAGAGCAGCTATCAAAGTATGAGAAGGAGATTTTCAAATCGAAAACAAAAGGAATCCAAATAAGGAGTGGCCAGCAAGAAACAAGGAAAAAGATGAATCAAACGCCATAATATGAACATAATAAAAGGAATGTTGTTTTTTTTGGAAAATATAAATTGGTTTGTGGTGGAGATGGTCAATTATCCGATGGTGCACAACATTGGATCATTAGAGAATATGGTTATAATTCCGATGACACACACAACATCGATCGTGTTGGTTGTGTTGTGGAACACGCACACGATGATTCATTTCGAACATGAAAACACAAAGAGAAAGACTCAAAACATTCAAAACATACCAATAGATCCGAGCTCAAAGGCCATTCTAGGGTTCGTCTTCAATGAATTCAAATAATTTCTTGCTTCCTCAAATTCAGTGTTCCACACCAAGTGGTTTCCTTTCATCACACAATTGAACATTTTGATTTACGGTTGTTTGGGTGTTCGGGTAAAATTCAACGTTTTTTCTGATGGTTCAGCAACACACGTTATTTTGATTTTTTATTTTGAAAAAATTAAAATTGATTCTTCTTCCTTTGGCCCTTTCCGAGTCGCTGTCGCAGTTATTCCATTTGATGCGCATGAATTTGTCGCAATTAATTCATAGACCCTTCTGATTTGCACTTCAACTCCAATTTTTCCGAGATGTGAAGACATCTCCTGACCTGGAGTGAAATTGGTCACGCGGCAAGGCATTGAATGTGTCCACAAGAAGAAACAATTGAAACTTTTTTAATTGGTGAGTACTGACATGTTGTTACTGTAAATTGGGAGCCATCATCATTTCATTACCTCCGGAGGTTGGCATATTGGCCATGAATTGTTGTTGCTGTTGTTGTATCCTGTTTTGCTTTTCTTGTATGAGAGCATTTGTTTGCATATCAATCATGTCAATTAATTTTGAGACGTGATTTTGCATTTGCATTGAATATGGAGGAATTGAAGCAACATAAATTTCATCCTCTATATTTTGATCCTCAGGTTGTGCAGGGCTCTTTAGATTGGTTGTATCATCAGCTGAGTATTCCACAAAGGGTTGAATTTCTTTAAAAGTTTGATTCAATAAATTGAGAGCATTAAATGACCTTGCTTGAATAACATCATAAATAGACGGAGACTGATATACAATTCCTGCTGCAATATAATACAAATTCAATAATTTAGGATTATTCTTATCTTTCTTTTCCACTTTTTCTTTTTTTACAATATAGAGTGTGGGTGATTTGGATCGTTTTGAATCAATTGAATATCGGATACCTTCAGTACTCTCCATAAGAGCATTCCGATCAATATTTCCAATTTGTTGCATACGCACAGTTTCATTCACAGAC